TCTATAATTTTTTTCTCTTTTGTTCCGAAATGTTATGCATAAGTACGAAGTTCTATGTTTTGACGAAAGTCATATGTCTCGGTGAGACTTAGTTTTGTTTTACTTTATTTAGCTAAGGCAAAGTATTATTTTCTTTAGTGTAAAAGCTAAAAAAACAAGCATTTTTCTGTTGGTCGAAAGACTAATTCTGTTATGTTAAAGCCAAATTTGGCCGGAGATAAAATAACTTCGTATTCTTGTACTAATAAGAATTTTAGTTTCAGTGCCGCCAGCTTGGCGAAGAATGAGTAAAGTAAAAATTTATTTTCTCTTATTCATTTTATGGTAAATTGTAAAAAGCTATGTATTAAACTTTTGTAAATGTATGTAAATACTTGCATGTTATGTAAAAGTAGAATTTAGTCTAGAAGCATAAAATTGTAGATGCTAAAAGTGAATGCTTAAAACAATGAAGTCAAAATTTAAGTATTAAACTGTAAAGTCATGCTTTAGAGCGAAAGCCTGCATGTTTAAAGACGAATGAGGGGGAAGTTAGAATGAATGTGTTTTGTAGGGTTTCTCCACCTACATTTGAATTTTTAAGAATATTAAAGTAGCTCATTGAGTTGTAGAATGTCGAGTAAGGGTGTCTATTTGGTTGTTGAATTCTAACAAATCATGGTGGTTAGGGGAAGTGTTGTAAGACTAAAAACACGAATATTCCCGCTTGACACCACACACGGGAGAGCCAGGGTAAAGTTAAATTAATGCTTGAAAAATTGAATGAATGTGAAGTAAGCAATAACTAAGAAAAACGAAACGTTAAAAACAAAAATTTATTGTGTCAAGAAAGTGTAAATTATAATGTATGTAGAAAGATACTGATACTTATTCCTTCCAGATGCTGGAAGGGAAAGACCAAGATTGATTGCTGAAGTCCAGGAAAAGTTGCTGTAAGAGAAGCTTTGTAAAGACTACAGAATTTTAAGTATACTTTGTTACATAAGATTTTTTTTGTGTAAACGAGGCTTTCGCCAGTTAGTTCAGAATTAGATAAACTTACAACAGGTCGTTTGTAGGACCTGCTTCCAAGTTTTCCAAATTCTGGCAGCGGCAAATGTAGGGTTTATATTTATTTTAACTAACATTTATTTTAAGTTTAAACTATCTTTCCTGTCAAGCCTTACTTTTCCCTGGAACTGCCAATGCCAGAATATGTAAATTTGAGTAAACGCGCAAGCATTCAAAATTATCAGCGGAAGTATTCTGATTTAAATAGGAAGGAAACAAGTCGGTGTGAGATATTCTTACATAGCGAGCGCGGAGGTAGTTAGCGAGAATTGAAGAAACCCCGCGTTGCGGCCTATGTGCTTGGCGGGAAGTAGTGGCAATGTTCCGTGAGCTTCAAGTCTGCTGAATTAGCAGCGGTATTGTAAAACGCGGTGAGTTAGTTATTTTAGAGAGCCTCGTAGTTAGAATCTTGTCTTTACTTCTTTTCAGGTTATTATTTTTATTTGACTGCGAGTAGGCACCGTCTGTAGCGTCAAGAGAACGCAATTGTAATTTATTACGTTGAATAAAAGGGACTTAAACCCTTCACAAGCTTCTATCTTTTATACAAGTTTTCACAGTCACCTCTTGGTTGCGTGCAGTTGGAGGCGCGCAACGTTATAACACAACCTTCTTTTTCTTTCCCTTGTCTGGCATATCTATTCATCTCTCCTACTATAGTGTCCCAAAAATCTTCATTCAAGACTTCTTTTAAAACATCTAAAGGCATAGGATTACCACGTAGTCTATGCAGGCTCAAAGGATTAATTCAGATATTTCAGAAAAATTTTTTATATCGGCTACATTTTCTTCTTCTTCCCAAATCCATTCCTCTGATACTGGTCACGAGAAGATTCATTATCACTGTTCGATAGACGTCTTGTGCGTCTTCGAAACCTTGATATTATATTACATTGTCATCATTTTCTAGTTCAATATCGTCTTCATCACCTTCGCTTTGTATTCATTGTAATTGTCAATTTTCAGGATCACTAAACAATTTCTTTAGATTTCTCAAAATCACTTCGCTATCACTATCATAAAATATATTCCTTTTTTTGACATAATAGGGCAGTGTATGGCAAATAATGTTCACCGAAATACTGTAATTGCCTCTTCTATTATGACTGATACAAGCTACAATGAAACGAACAGAATTGTGCCTAACCACAAATAACGTTTTAGACATGTCATCTGCTCCTAGGGAAAACATGTGAATGTCGTCTCTCAGACGTCAAATGTACCCAAGAGTTTAATTTTGGGTTTGACGTCTTAGACACGTCAACAGCTCCTAGGGAAAAAAAAAGTGGACGATGTGTCTCAGACGTCAAATGTACCCAAGGGGTTAACGGAGGAACAGCTAGCATTAGCTGAAGGGCTATTTGCTTTCCACACCATAAACCACAATCAAAGTTTCAGATAAATTGATTGTACGTCGCAAATGATCAAAACATTGTACGACAAAAAATTTGCATGTGCAAGGACAAAAACCGAAGTAATTATTTGTAGTGTTTTTCACCATATTCGTTTTCACAATTGCAGAAAGAATTAGATAAATGTACATTTATATCCATATATTATGATGCTTTCAACCACAAAGATTTAAAATTATTTCCCACAATTGTTAGACATTTTGATTCAGGAACAGGAATTAAAATTAGTTTTTGCTTCATTGCTGGGTGAATTTTTTTTTTTTCCCAATGGCAGACTGTGAACAGTTACAGTTTTGTAACAGAGTCCATTTTTCTATAATTAAGGCCAGATGTGGTGGTCTCTTTACTATGGAGACACCTAATAGGTTCGCCACCATTGCCTCCTATTAAGAAACGGACAGTTACAACCATGCCTTCTCCGGGATTCAAACCTAGGCCCTTTGGTATCGCAGTCAGACTCCCCTAACCACTATACCATCTGGGCGGCAGCCAGGTGAAACTTCACAAATAATTTTTGATTCAATAAATACTATTTTAAAAAATAATAATTTGAACAATAATATTATTGCCTATTGTGAGGATAACACTAACGTAAATTTTGGTGGAAAAGCTTGAAGAGGCATCAGTAACATTTTAACGAACATTTGAACCAAAAAATTATTGGAGTAGGTTGTGCAGCGTATATTCTATACAGTACTATTCAAACAGCCTCTGACTTACTTCCAGTGGATCTTGAAAATATTATTGCAACAATTTATTCGTATTTTTCTCTATATATACTGTGTGTATTGAAAGTTTGAAGGACTTTTGTGAAAGCGCAGAAATCGAATATTAAAAAAGGAGATTTTATGGGAATAGGTGGAAAAATCTTTTTAATATATTAGTAACCATTTTCCGAAAAATAATATCTGAGAAAATGATCTTTTTGATGAGATGTCATTGGTAAAAAAAAATATGTTACTGAAGAAAAAATTAAATGTTGGTTGTCTGCAAATGTGGAAACAGACAAAAAGTGGAAAAAGTTATTCCTTCGTTTTAAACAGAATAATATTCTTTATGAAAATACTTGAAAATTGTAGAACATGCTCTCCCTTCCAGGAACAAATGCAGCAACAGAACGTGTTATTTCTGGTATCAATAAAATATGGACAATAGAAAAAACGCAGTAGAAAATTAAAACTTTAAAATCTGTAGGGTAAAATATAATTTGATCAATTCATGTGAGAAATTTGACGACATTTTAATAATTGATTTGAATCTATTGCCAAGTATTCACTTGGATAAAAAATATCACCGTGAAAGAAAATCGTAATTTTTTAAAGTAAAATTTTAAAAAAATTAAAAAACATAATATTCAAATTATAGTTTTTTACAAAAATTTTTATAGTTACCAATAGCTAGTAATAAATATATTTTTGTATATTTACAGACAAGTATATGAATGTATACAATAAAATATATTTTTTGAATTATTGGTCTGCTTTCATAACTAAATTAAAATTTTCATTTCGTTCCATTTGTCCCGCTTTGTCTCAATGAAAGTGTGGATCCGGAATCGCCGAAGTCCCGATGAGTCCGAATTACGGACTTTGTACTGTACATTTCATATTTACATTCCAACAATTTAAAATATGCTTTTTAATATTTCTTCTTTTTTGAGTAAAAGCAAATAAAATATATTATACTTTTTGATATTTAGATTTTTTAGCAGTTTTATAGCTACAATGTATTAAAATTTACAGCTGAACACATATTTTTAAATTTTGAAATGCTTAAATGTAACTAAGTGGTCAGCTCCAAACTGATACACATATTTTTGAAAGAAATATTGAAACCCTTTTGCATAGTATCTTTATTTCTTTTTTTAATTCACTGGACTAATGCATTCAGAAACAAAGCATCAAAACAAATATAATTTTCTAAATTATAATTTGGTCCATCTGTTGATACAATAGATATCATCTTTCCACCACTTTTAATGCTGAAAAATGTGTCATGCTGAATGCGCAAATTTAATGGATACTTTTGCCATCAAGCAGTTGGTGGTAATGGAAATATGCTCAAGTCACCTTTTTCTTGATGTTTTTAAACGTGAGTTGGTGGTATTGGAAATATGCCCAAATCACCTTCTTCTTGATGTTTTTGAACGTGAGTTGATGGTATTGCAAATATGCTCAAGTCACCTTCTTCTTGATGTTTTTGAATGTGAACTGCCAAGTGGTCAGACCTACGAAAAGTTTTTGGGCAAAAGTTACATGTATAGGGAAAACTCGCACTGTGCGTTAACATGTGTCGTTTCAAATGATTATTTCGAGTAAATCCTCTACCACACAATGTACATGTAAATGGACGTTCTCCAGAATGGATAAAACCATGACGTTTAAAGTCTTTTCTTGAATCTGTAGAATATAAGCACAATTCACACTTAAAACGATGTTGAAGATTTCCCCCTTTATGCCATTTTTTATGACGAGACAGAGCTGAATTTGAAGCATATACCATTTCGCACTCATCACATGAATAGCATTTCAAACCTGAAAGAATAACCCACATTTAAATTAATTAAACTACAAACTGAGCTTAATAAAATTAAACAATCTTTAATTCGCATAAATAATTTTAACAATTGCTTGTCTTAAGCAAAGATCATTGACATGAAGGACTGCAAATTATTACAATTATTTCTGTACTTGTAAATGTTGCAAAAATTGCAGAGTAAATAAAATGTAATGACTGATATTTGCATAGTATCAAATAATGTAAAGCATTTTATATCAATTTTGTTTCATTTTAAAAACTATTCATTAAATTATACTAAAATAATAAGTACTGCATCTACTTTTAAATTATTTATTTAAAAAGTACTTTCTTGTTAAAGGAGCCATTATACAGGCGCTTTTGGCGATATTTAAAAAACTGCACACTGCATGCCAGTTTTGGCTACAGTCAAAAGTCCTTAATCCGGAATCGTCGGGACTTTGGCGATTCCGGATTATCGATTTTTTGGATTATAGATCATCTGTTTAAATCTGGTAAGATGGCATGCAGAAATAATAAAAATTAAAAATATGAAACCGTAATTTATGAAAGAAAGAACAATTATGATCTAAAGGGTATCAAAATTTACAAAAAAAAAAAAGCTTAATATTTATTTGTTTACTTTATTAAACAATTTTTTCAACGCGCGCAAGCGTAAAGCATACATTACGCATAGTCGAAATTAGAAAATTGCAACCAGAAAACTATTTGATGTGTATTCGTGATATTTATAATGAATTTGATTTAAATCATATCAAAGACAAAGTACATCGAGATGAAATACTACATTTTAGTAATGAATTATAAGCAGAATAAAATAAAAACATCTGCCCTGAAGATAAGGATAGTGCTGACATATCAACTTCCAGTTCATTGTGCGCCGCGACGTTTCCCTCCCCCGCAGAGCAGCGTGAAATTGATAAACATATTTCAGGATGGTTAGAGAATGAAAGGATATATGCCTTTATGCATTTTTTGGAGCAATTCCACTTTTTGTTTGATGGACATCAAAACATGCTTTCGCTTTGTAGATCCTTTGCTAGCTCCAGAATGGGAAATTCTATTTGACATAATCGAAAGTTAAAGCTTACTTTTATAAAATTGCTCGAACAGTCTGCCAAAAATAATAAGCCGGATCCAATTCGAAGATTAAGAAACACCGCAAACTGCAACATTAACTAAAAATAGATAATTAGATAATTTTAGCTTAGCTTATACCGTCCGTTATACATTAAACGTGCATGTGTGCACGTTTATGCGCATGCGTAAAGGTATTACGCGCATGCGTGAACGCATTATGCGTTGACGCTTGCGCAGAAATTTTGTAGCTTTGAGGTCCGGATTATGGGCGTCTGGATTAACAACTTTTGACTGTATTAACCACTGTGGCTGCATGAACAAGAAAGTACCTTTAAAAATTATATAAATGACTAATTTATTGTAATTTACAGTGCTTAAAATAAATTATAACAATTTATGTACATAATATAAATACACTTATATATAACATCTAGTTATATATTTCATATGAAATTAGATTATTATATATTATTTCAGCAAAAACATGTTGGCACAGAAAAAAGTAGTATTAGGGTGAATTCACACCGATTAATAAAACATCACATTATTTATTAAAAACTGAATACTGCAATAAAAACAGACAATTTTTACATGAAATAAAATAATGCTACAATATAAGAAGGCAAGAAAAAGAACAAATTTAACTTTTGTTTCTTTTTACATAATTAAAAAATGTATAATATTAAAAAAGTAAGTTACTGCTCATCGAGAAATAACACATATACACACATATTTAAATAAATTTCCTGAGATAATATAACAGAAAAGTATATTTAATGATATTAAGTAATAGAATACTGAATCCCAAAACTGGTTGAGTAAGAAACCTTGAAAACCTAGGGGAGAAAAAAAGAGATTTGCTTTTAAAATTTGCATTCTGAAAACTTGAGATTACAGTCAAATACCTCAGAAGGGATTGTACATTTAAATAAATATTTACAGATGACAATTGACATAATTAAATCTTTACTGTTAAATAAAATTGAAACTCACCTAAAAAATTTCGATTCTGAAAACTTGGGACATTTGTTTTTACATTTCTTTCTGAATGTAAAATGAAATAAGAAGAAAAATATCAAAACATTAAAAATACAAATAAAATCTTGGGCTTCATTAATTGGCAATAACTTCTTTTTATATAAAGCAAAAACCACTAAGTGTAAACAATAACACTGTTTGAGGAGCTAGATAAAAGGTTGAAGTTAGATAAATACCTAACAATAAAAGCAAATTTTAATCATACTTTTATTTACGGAAAGCTATAACAGAAGTAAATAGTCTTCATTATTGCATTAAACAGAACTGCAAAGAAAAATGTATGAATGTCATATGTATGTTTAAAATTTATTTTAATTGAATTTAATTGCATCATATATATATATATATATATACATATTTAGTTAACATTTTATTTAAAACAGTGGCTTTTTATGTAATTAATTTTATTCTTAATTAAAGAAGCCCTATATCTGGCTTGTACTCATTCAGAGCAGATAATGACATGAATAAGTTCTAATTAAAAGATATAAATGTACAACAATTACTTAGCCAACACACACACACAAAGCTTTCCTTTATCATTATATTTTAAACTTCTATTCTGCTAAACTTTAAATAAAAGTGCTGGGGAAGTGAAACAAATTAATGAAATTATAGAGAGATGGTGTAATTTAAATAATTAAAATAAAAATGCCAATGCCAGCTAAAACTAATTAAATAAAATTGATACATATTTATCAGCTGTATTTACCAGCACATGTATTTTCTGATAAAATAAATAAATAAAGCTAAACTATTATTATATAGCCAAAATATGTTTGGAAACACTCATTAAAATTTTATTGCTTAAAAAGCCTTTAAACAGCACATAACCAAAAGTCTTTATAAATTGCTAGAAATTATAATACTATCATAATACAATTAACTATATGAATATCTTGTCACAAAACAGTGTTGTTCAACGAAAAAATATTTCATATGTTATTAAATTAATAATCTTATTTGTTTTTTTTTTTTTTTTTTTTTTTTTTTTTTTTTTTTTTTTTTTTTATAATCTTCTTATTTGGTAGTGAATTATAGCAATTAAATCAACTTTGGGCCAGTACTGCTTTCCTGTTTTAAGATTTTACAGAAGACAGTATCTTTTAGAAGTTTCTTACGCCACCATTTTGGAGTCGACGATCACCCTACTCAAAGTTAGTAATAATTTTCCAGACTGCACCCAACATTTGGCACCCCCGCACACAAATTTTAATATGATAGGACATTTTGAATACATATTTAAATACTTAGTTATACTATCAGACACCTTGAACCTTATCACATTCTTTTTCCAAGAACTATAATTTTTTTGTAGCTACAGAACAGCTTTGAATAGAACACAGTTTGGTCGCCTATAGAATTAAATATATTTTAGTTTAGAAGGTCGTCTTAAGATTTAAGTTTTTTGTTTTCTTACCATTAAAAGTTCAGTTTAGCATAATCGGAGACCACCCAATTTTTTTTAGTGCTGTTTAAAAGACAATTTTGTTTAAAGTATATAAGTTTTACTCTTTATATTTATTTGCTTTTGACTTTCCGATTTGCATATAATGATTTTCGACCAATGGATATATTTTTTTTTTTTCAGAATGTAAAGTTTTGTGGTTTTTTTGAGTAGTCAATTTAGCACACTGTTATGTTTTATGCGTTTTACCAAGTGTTTCGAAGGCGTGTAGTGAAAATCCTGGTACATTCGAGATTCGAGTTTTCGTTTTTTTTATCAATTTTAGTGTCTTAAATGAAAATTTAATACATTCTTTTTTCAGTTTTTGATCTCAAATGAACCAGGAGAACGGAACAAATTAATCGAGTTTTGTGAAACTTTAATTAATTTTTTGCCTGATGAGCCCTGAATTGGAGTTTCAGTAAAAAGAGATTATTATTTCTATATTTTTTTCTCTTTTTGCATTTTCATTTTTAGAGTTTGTATTACTATGAATTCTTATTTTAATTTTGAGTTAAACCTCTTATACACAATTGCTAATATTAATACTGTAGAAGAATAACCTTACTTTGACTCCAATTTACTTTAACTTTAGAATCTTCAAGTCTATTTGAGAAAAGTGCAAAATCACCCGTTTGCTGCATTTTTAAGAATTGCACAAACTCTGTATCCATCTATACAGCAACCTATTTTCACTTAAAAAAACATCCCAAAGTTGCACAAAAATTGCATTGTGCCACTGACTTTATCCATGTACGCATGGACCAATTTTTTTCACTTAAAAAGTCAAAGAAAATTGACAAATATTCGATTCTTACTTTTGTAAAAAGTGCCAAACAAATAAATGGGCGATTCTGCACTTTACCCGTCTATTTTACTTCAATCCTGCAGCTATAGCGTAGAGCAGGTATAAAAATTTGCTTTTAATTTTGCATCTTATGATTTTTTGTATATTTATATATACATATATGTTACGGTGAAACACCAAAATCTGGAGAATGTCGTTTTTCACCGGTGAATGTCAACATTCACATAGTCGCTTGGTGTATGTCCTAAAATTTTCCAAATACTCTTATTTCTGAATTACACCTGTGAATGTCGACATTCACCATGTACGAATGGTAAATGTTGACATATAAGAATATTATATTTCCTTCTCTGTAATTCATACGCGAAAAAACGCACATGACACTCAGAATAAGAACTTAAGAACATAAGAACTTAAAACACACAATACATTCTAAATGAGAAAGGAAAATAATAGAAGTTATAACTTACCAAATTATGTGATTCAAATCTTATTTATTGCAACAACTTAAACTATTATGACACTTTGAATTGCACAAGAGGTCCTTGCTTTTACAACTGCATTTATTTGTGGAAGACTTCCTTTTGGAAT